TGTCCTCAGGTGGGGGGACGTCAGGGATTACCCGTCTCGCGCCCTTCCCGGCCGGGTACAGGGCGGGGCCCACGGGTGCGTTTTAGACCGTTTTCTCTCTTGAGGGGCGCTAACGGGAAACACCCCGAGGAACCTGATCCTTGCCCGCCCCCCAACCTGCAGCGTGATGCAATTGGTGGTTCTTTGTGCGGCTGCTGCGTGCGGGTCAATGTCGCCCTGTGTTGTGAGGCTCTGGTGGCGCTGCAACGGGCGTCACAGAGTAAAGCCCAAACCCGGGGAGTCCTGGGTCTCCTTACAGACTAACGGAATTATTTGGAAAAACAACAAATAGTCTAGTAAAGACTAACAAAACATGAAGCTGGAATCATGACCTTTCGTGGGTGCAGCCCACTTCTTCACATGACAGGAGTTTTTTCTTAATTCATGTTCTTTGAGCTCAGTTAGAACTTTATTACACTGACAGGCTTGAGAATTGGGTTTTAGCTGTTTCACCAGCTTGTCTCAGCTCTAGCTGCACTTGTCAGAGCTAGCCTACCAACATGCAGTTCAGCTCTGCAGTCAGATGCTGTTGCCGGAACAGGAGCAGCATAGTACTTCCGCAAGAAGCACTGATTTCAGACAGTAGGAAGTCAGTGTTCTTGCGGAAATTCAAGCGGCCAGTGTAGACAGCCTTAGGGTTCGTCTAGACTGGCAAGATTTTGTGCAAAAGCAGCTGTAATGGAGATCTTTTGGGCAAAAACTTGCCAGCTGTCTACACTGGCCGCTTGAATTTGCGCAAGAGCACTGACTTTGTAATGTACAAAATCAGTGCTTCTTGCGCATATACTTTTACGCTCCCGCTCGGGAAAAAGCCCTCTTGCAGAAGAATACTTGCGCAAGAGGGCCAGTGTAGACAGGGAAGAACTGTTTTGTGCAAAAAAGCCCCAATGGCTAAAATGGCGATCGAGGCTTTCTTGCGCAAAATCACGTCTAGACTGGCCACGTCTAGACTCGATGCTTTTGCGCAAAAGCAAATCTTTTGCGCAAAGGCACTTGCCAATCTAGATGCGCTTTTGCAGAAATACTTTTAACGGAAAAACTTTTCCGCTAAAAGTATTTCCCCAAAACCATGCCAGTCTAGACGCAGCCTTAGGCTTCATTTACACTGAGAGATCTTCCAGCAAAAAATATGTTAATATGGGACTCATTTGCATGAGTTGCGATTTCATTAGCATATTTTCTACTGTTTCTTTTTGCGCAAGCAGTGTGGATAGGGTTTTTTTTGTGCAAAACCCCCATGCCCCTTGCACAAAAAGAAACCAGAAAATATGCTAATGAGATCATGACTCATGCAAATAAATCCTGTATTAGCATATTTTTTGCCAGAAGATCTGGCAGTGTAGATGAAGCCTTAGGCTACATCTACATTTGCAGCTTTTTGCACGAGAAATATGCAAATGAGTCTAAGCATGGAATATCGCTGAGCCTCATTTGCATACCTAATGAGCTACCATTTTTGCAAAAGAAGCTCTTGCACCAAAAGGAGCTCTCTACACTTCCCCTTCTTGCGCAATGCCATTATTCCTGAAAATAATCGGTGTAGCGGCATTGCGCAAGAGGGGATTTCTTGCAGAAGAAGGGGCAGTGTAGACAGCTACTTATGGCACAAGAGCTTCTTTTGCAAAAATGGCAGCTCATTAGGTATGCAAATGAGGCTTGGTGATATTCCATGCTTCGCCTCAATTGCAAGAAGCCACCAGTGTAGACATAGCTTTCTTGCGCAAGAAAAACCCTCTTGCGCAATGCTGCTTCACTGATTATTTTCAGGAATAAGGGTATTGCGCAAGAGGGTTTTTCTTGCACAAGAAGGGGCAGTGTAGACGCTCCTTCTGGCACAAGAGCCTCTGCTGCAAAAATGGCAGCTCTGGAATATCGCCGAGCCTCATTTGCATACTTAATGAGCCACCATTTTTGCAGAAGAGGCTCTTGTGCCAGAAGAAGCTGTCTACACTGCCCCTTCTTGAGCAACAAAAACCCTCTTGTGCAATGCCGTTCTTCCTGAAAAGTAATCGGCATAACGGCATCGCACAAGAAGGTTTTTGTTGCGCAAGAAGGGGCAGTGTAGACAGACAGCTTCTGGCGCAAGAGCCTCTTCTGCAAAAATGGCGGCTCATAATTTAATTTAATTTAAATTTAAGATATTCCACGTTTAGCCTCATTTGCATATTTCTGGCACAACAACCCGCCAGTGTAGACATAGCCATAGGCTGTGTCTACACTGGCACCTTCTTCGGAATAGCCATGCTAATTTAGAACTTTGGAATAGGGAAATGCGCGGGGGATTTAAATATCCCCCGCGGGATTTAAATAAACATGGCCTTCAGGCAAAGGTGCAGCTGCAGGGGGCTTTTAAGTCATAGGGGTTGCAGCCCATCAAAGACAGCTTTGAAATATCAGTGTGGCAGTTACAACACATAGTAATAAATATAGTTAGTAGTGTGTCACCATGACTAATTGGATCACCACTAAGAATATCAAATTCAGGACACGCTGTTGAGAAATAGAACAGATGCATCCTAGGTTGGTGAATATTTTAATCATTAGATTTTACCAAGTCAGTTACAAATGTGAACGTCTGTATTTCCATACTGGAAATATGAGAACAAGAAGTCATAACTGCATTCCAATCCCTGGTTTACTACCCAAGCAACTGGATTTATGAGTGGCTTCTGAAAACTAGATTATTCTTATCTAAAGCTTTTCTGATCCCAACGGACCAGCCACTTCACTTGGTTAATATATAATGGAGATCTTGCACAAAAATCATGTTTGGAGCCTTCTTTTAGTAACTAAAACTTAAAGCTTAATAACACCAAAAGAAAAGGATTATTGAATGTCAAAAAATCATGTACATTACAGTTGATTTCCAGAGACTGCAGAGCAGGATCATAGCAATGACATAAATCTCCTAGCTTGTAAAAAAATGGTCTTGATTGCCTAGAGTGGTTATAGTCATTCAGTCCCTTTGTTCAAAGCTTCCTTGTTAGAAATTCAGTACAGAGATGTGAAGCAGATGATGAAGACAAACATTATATTGGTCTCCACTTATACGTTCAGCCCATGTGCGTAGAAAGGGAAAATTGCTGGCAAGTGATGGAGTCTTAGATCACATATCCTCTCTACATGTCCTCCAAGCCATGATGAGTCTCTGGCCAGCCATTACCTCAGTATTTTGTGACACATCTTCAGGAAAAAGCTCATTGTGTATGTTCAAACTCTTCAA